ATCCACATGGTGGACAGAGAGAACCACAAACAGCTCCAGGGATTTGTTGTCCTCTGACCTCCAATACTCACATGCCCAAAGACACACACTGAATTATTATTATTATTATTATTTAATGTAGTTTAAGTCAGGGCCAGGAAGCAAATGTTACAAAGTTCTGGAGGCTGGTTACTATGAATTTTGTATTAGGATATACCAATCAGAAGAGGATATAGTTTTATCCCACAGCTGGCATGAGGCAAAGGTTATTAAAAAATCACTTCTCCAGTCTGAAGACTGTACTATTGTATTTTTTGGAAGAGACCTTTAGCACCATGATGGTTGGTGAGAACCAATGAACACTTGGGGTTCCCAAGCTTACATTGTGAACTCATGTAGGGGTCAAACTCATGTAGAGGGCCAGTTTGAGGCAGACCTTGGAGATACTGGCAGAAACTCAAGATTCAAGTTCAGAAGTTGTCTAATCTTAGTTTCTAATAAAAGCAGAGTAGTATATTTGTTAGAACTGATGAGCATACTTGACCTCATTGCCACCCACAGTCTTATAGGTCACAAATGTGTGACCACGTGTATCCACTATTATAGCATAGCAGGGAGTGGTTTCTCTGTCTTTAAAAATCCTCCATGTTCTCCCCCCTCCCCGATACCCCTTTGCAGCCACTGATCTGCTTAGCCTATCCACATTTTCAAATCTTTTCCATAATGTTATACCATGGAATGGCACGAATGGCCTTTTCAAAACTTCTTCTTTGACATAGTGATGATGTATTTTAGTCTGTCATACATGCATGCATGATGTGAGCATCTTTTCTTAAGCTTCTTTGACATCCGTCTATCTTTGTTTTGAGGCCCACTGTTTCCTTTCTTCTTTCTTTTTTTCCTTCCTTCCTTCCTTCCTTCCTTTTTTCTTTCTTTCCTTTTTTTTTTTTTTTTAACTATGCATTTCCCATTGGTTGATGGATGGAAAGATTATGTTCTCATAGCCCCAGATGTTTATTAAAACATTTATGTTTATCTGCCTTCTGTCTAGACTTGTTAGTGATGCTGTATTATGTATTCTCCAGTTAATCAAAATAACTGCACCTTGTTTCTCAACCACAGATAGCTAACTATTTTAGCATGTGGTCAGCTCATTTTGAAGAGGCAAAGCTAGACAAGTTGATCTTTGTGATATTTCTAGTTCATGGAAATTTGAGATTTCTTAGTATCTAACACATTTACTGTCCACAAGAAAGAAGAAGGCAGAGAGATCCAAATCTGGTAAAGGGCAGATTTCAACAAGAGAGTATGTGTAGTTTTTCACCCTTTTGGTTTTATGACATGATTGTGTAGCCCGGCCTGGAACTTGCTAGGTAAATCAGACTAACCTCAGGCTCACAGCAGTCCTTCAGCCTCTGTCTCCAGAGTTTTGAGATTACAGATGTCTGCCACCATGCCCCACCATTTTTTTGTTTATTTATTTTTTGTGTTTTGTTTTTTTCTTTGCTCTTGAAATGGGGTTAGGAGTTGGCATTGCCTAGCATAATCCTGGTGACATGGTCTGCTGTGGTTGACATTTTATAAAATAAGGTTGATACTATTATCTAACTTTGAAACAATGTATTATAGAAAAATTAGAAGCTATAGAAGAGTATTACAAAGTAAATAAGTTGTCAGCAATCCTATCACTCAGGCAGACACTGCTAATAAATAAGGTAGTATGCAAAAAGGGATCATGCTGGGTTTCTATAATTTATTTTCACTTAACCTTATATTGTTGGCATTTATATCATTGATAAGGGCTTCAAGAAAACTTTAAAGGAAAATAGCTACAGGAACTTGTATGGATTTACTGTAACAGTTATTTCTCTGTACTTATACTTTCAGGGGTTTGTGTTTGTTTTTGTTTTCTTGGGAACTCCATAGATCAGGCTGGCCTTGAACTCACAAAGATCAGCCTGCCTCTACTGGGGTTAAAAGGCGTGTGCCACCACTCCCTAACTATACTCTCAGTGTTTATGAATAATGCATACTCTTCAATTTCCTTACTTCTGCCATTCCCCAGAGCATTTATAGACACTCTTACTAGAGGAAGTTTACTACATCAAACTTCATGGTTTTTATGAGCAAATTTGGAGAACCTTCCAAGATATTCACAGGGGATCTTATCAGTTTATATCTCTCTCGGTATGTAGGAAAATGCCTCTTAGAAAGCTTACCAGCTTTGTATCTGATCCCGTTTTCGTGTTACTTGGTAAAATTTAGAGGTATGTCCACAAGAAACTAAAGAGGACATTTGGAGTTTCTCATCTCACAGTTTATCTTCTAAATCTAAAAGGAATGGGTACCACCCTGGCCTCCCTGTTACCTCTGGATATTTTGTATTGCAGCTGTGACTCAGTGGTAGAGCACTTACACTTACGGGTGCCTGAGGCCCTGGGTTCAATCCTCAGCACTGCCTAACAAGTCAATACAATATTTTGCTTTCATTTCCTTTATTTGATGTGCTTTCTCTATTCTTACCTGAGGTAAGTTCCATATGTATGCTGGATATCCCATTGCATTCCTTAGGAAACCCTAGCCCCTTTCTGTGCTTGCATCATTAATTTCCTGTCTCCCGGCTGTGCCATTCTTACCGACCTAAAAAGCATGGCTTAACAAGAAGACACCCCCTACCCCTTGCTCCGTCTAGCTACTGTCCTGTTTCTCTTTTCACAGCCAAGCAGGAAGGAGCCTTTTCCTACTAACCCAGGAAGCACTGTTTATACTGTTGCTTTTCTCAACCCGGGACAGCCATTGGTTCCTTTAAAGTACAATTTGCAAAAAGTTAAAACTTGGATGTTCAAATAGAAAAATAGCCCGTGTCAAGAATTGTATTCACCTGCTAGCTAATGAACGGAACCAATAAGATGTTAAGTCCGGTTCAAAGGAGAATTGCAAGAACAAGCAAATGCAAAGAGCTGAATATACTGAGAGCAGTTTGCTGGCAGTTATGGAAATGGTTAAATCCTATAAGGCAATAACTATAATTGAGAAGGATTAGTCTCTCTATCAAGTGAAAATCCATTACATGACTTTTTTTTCTTTTCTATAGAAAAGAATCTATGTAGCTGCAAGTTTTTTTTTTTTTTGGTAGCTGCTACTTTTAATGGCTTAACCTACTACAAACTTGGAAAGCAGCCTATCCAGTGGTGAGTTATAAAAAAAGACTACACCCTGGGGAATCCAATAATCCTTCTAGGTAACACCCAACATTCCACTGAAATAGTTATCTAGTCACTTTTTTTTTTTGACCTAACAGTCACCACGGTAGCCATGGCATGTTTCATAAAGCTGGTGTGTCCTACTGCCCTCATTAAAATAGGCCTTCTGGCAAGGGTGGAAAGAGTAAGTGTCCCTGAAAGTCTTCTGTGAGTGTTGGCACACCACATCCACCCAATTCACTGCTGGCTTCACTTCCTCTAGTCAGTATCTAAATCGCAGGATGCCCAGACTTAACTGCCTGTACCCATCAATTGTTGGGCTCCAGCTCAGGCCTCCATGAACTACTCCAGAAGGCCTCTCACTGGTCTTGTGTTTTGGCCAGAGCATGTAGTCCCTCTTCGGTCAGTGTTCTTCCCATGTTACTGGTCTGAAGACCTTATGTGTGTGATCTTGCCTTTTCTGGCTATCTATCTCCTTGCCTTAGCACTAGTCAAACTGGTCTTTCTGTACCTTGAGTAGAGCAAGTTGTGCCCAGGCCTTTGATCTAGCTGATGTTTACCCCCACCCCAGGGCAGGGCAGCCTTCCTCTGTGTCATTCAGATCTCTGTAATGCCACTTCAGAGATGACTCAACTGCCTGACCACCTAGTTAAAGTAGCCCGTATTCCCAGTTTCTCACCCCTTTCTCATTTTCCTCATAGCCATGACAGTGTTAGAACCCTATTTTCCATCTCTGATTCTTTCTTTGTAGAATGTCCTTTCTTAAAGGTAGACTTGGCCAAGTGTATGCTCCCTAAATGTTTGCTTGCTGACTAAAAGCATGGTACATCTCAGGTGTGCTCACATCCTCCTGTGGTTTTCTAGAAAGCCCACCAGATTAAACATTGTAGAAAGCAAAGAGCCTTTATGGGAGCACAAAGCACTGACTGGCTTAGGAAAGCGGGAAGAGCACTATTCTCTTCTGTGGTTTAAACTGAAGGGCCTCTTCTTCACTGTCCCAAAAGGCACACTGTGTGTGTGTGTGTGTGTGTGTGTGTGTGTGTGTGTGTGTGTGTGTGTGTGTGTAGGAACTTAGCTTTCCAGCCTTCTGTGCCGTTGTCATAGTCGTTCTGATTTTAGTGCAGGACTGAAGTTAAAAGTTCTATTTTGATTGAAATACTTGATGTAGCCAGGAATTCTAGAGTCTGAAGATTCATTCAGGATTTTTAGTACTTTTTCTTAAATTTCATTTCTGTTTGTCTGTTTTATTTAGGGAGGTGTACTACCATGGCAGAGTCTTTCCTTCTAGAGAACTCTAGAAGACAGGAAGGAGAGGTGTAGGGAGGTGCACATGTCTGGTATTTGGGGACAAAGGCACTTAGTATTAGAAGCCAAGTTTTTGAGTAGGAAGGAGACTGGAGATTTGGATGTCCCTGGGGCTCTCACCATTGTTGGATAATAAATGTGAGCTTTACTGTGTGGTTAGTGTTTGGGTTTTGTTTTTGTTGTGTTGAGTTAGAAGCAGAGTTCCAGTAAATAACTTGATTGGTTGGATGGCCAAGGAAAGACGGTTCTATCTGTTTTTATTGGCAGGGCCGCACAAATGGGGTAAAAAAGATTGAGCTGCTGCATACTCTGTTCTTGATATAATTCATAGCTAAGAACAAGGAAGGAGGAGGGGCCTACACTGTGGTGCCATTGCAAAGGACCGTTCTCCAGACATCTGACTCATGGGGCCAGTAGCAATGGAGACAAAACAAAACCTCTAGGAGAAATGAGCATGGCATTGCATTATATTGCAGTGGCTCTATAATGACTTGTTATAGGTAACATCTCTTTCTCTCTTTTTTTCTTATATTCTAGTTAGAGAAGTGAACATGGAGAACAACGAAACATCAATGGATTCCAAATCCATTAAAAATTTTGAAGTGTGAGTATTTATTTATTTTTATTTGTTGTAGTTTAAGGTGGTGGGTTCTCCACCTACCCCAGGCTAAACTGGACCTCTATAATCTAGCTTTAAATTTGTAAATTTGTGATGGCCCTCTGACCTCTGTTTTCTTATGCTAGAATAACAGGCAATAGTTACTATGCCTGGTGATATTGGTATAAGTGGAATTCTATATAGTCAAAGGAAGACTATATATGTTTGTAGAATGCATCCTATCTTAGTCTAGTTGTGACATAACAGAAAGTAGTGAAGAATCAGCATTAGGCGATGAGAATTACAGTTCTGTGGTTGATTATAAGATTTGCATCCCTTATCCAAAAGTGACTAAAACCAGAAGTATTTTAGATTTTGAACTCTCAGATTGGAATATATTCACACACACACACACACACAAATGCATTAGAGCTGGGACCTAAGTTAAGTGTGTGTGTGTGTGTGTGTGTGTGTGTGTTGGGGGGTGGTATGTACAGGTATATGTAGACTACAGTGCACGAGGAGGTCAGAGGCAAACCTTTCCTTGTTTCTGCTGCAGAAAGCCCTAGGCTAGCAGTCAAGCTTCCATCTCTTCTGTGTCCGCCTCCCATCCTGCCACAAGAATGCTGTGAACACACGTGTGCCACCACTTAGAGTGACCTTCCTAACACTGTTACCCTTTAATCCAGTCCCTCATGTTGTGGTGACTCCCAACCATGAGATTATTTTCATTGCTGCTTCATAACTGTAAATTTGCTACTGTTATGAATCGTAATATAAATATCTGATATGCAGCCCCTGTGAAAGGATCGTTTAACACTCGCCTCCTGAAAAGATCTTGATCCATACGTTGAGGACCACTGACTTAAAACTTTTTAATGTAGTTTCCAGTGATTGAACTCAGGCTATTAGGATTGCATAGAAAGTGCTATTACTTGTACTTGCCAGTGGTGGTGGCACACTTCTTTAATCCCAGTGCTAGGGAGGCAGAGGCAGGTGGGTCTCTGTGAATTTGAGACCAGCCTGGTCTACAGAGTGAGTTCCAGGACAGTCAGGGCTGCACAGAAAAACCTTGTCTTGAAAAATCGAAAAAAAAAAATATATCATGAATAAATTATTTCATACAATGTTAATTTTTTAAAGCTGTATTTGGTAAAATGTTATTGGACTTTACAGAAAAACTTTCCAATAAGTTCTGAACACCCTTCAGCACATTTTACTTACTTGGCCTTGACAGGTCATTTCCTCATCAGTGAAATGTGTTGTTGTGAATGTATTTATTTATGCTTTTTTCCCCTAGTGCTTGGGATCAAACCACATGTGAAATTTGAATGAGGGGAGGGTGTAACATGAAGTTGGGTACATTGAGAGCCTTAAACAAATGTTAACTGTTCTTATGAGAAATAAAAGTTGTACTAATAGAGTCATTTCTGCCTTTGGTAACTATCACTTGATTTCCATGCAGAAAGACCATACATGGAAGCAAATCAATGGACTCTGGAATATATCTGGACAATAGTTACAAAATGGATTATCCTGAAATGGGTGTGTGCATAATAATTAATAATAAGAACTTTCATAAAAGCACTGGTATGTATCTAACATTTTTTAAAACATTTCAAATATTTATGCCGTTCACATTGGATGTAATGTGAAAAGCACTATCAGTGTGTTATGAGTCAGTAAACTGATACAGACAAACCACAAAATGGAGATACACTAGAACCTTACAGGTCCCATATACAATAGGAACTCTTCCATATTTAGGATCTGTGCCTCTCCTGACTGCAAAGGGCTGGATTCTCTGCTGCCCAACAGAGCCAATCCCTTGAGAGTCTGACTGATAGAGAAGAAAAGGTTGCTTAAGCCACAACCTGGCAGGAATGAAGATAAATGACTGGCACCTGAGGGCCTCTGCCCCGGAGCAGCTGAGAAAGTGTCTTTAGCATCCTTTGCAGGAGCCCTTAACTCACAGCCTCAGGCAAATGGGCCCTACAAACATTCCTTTGTCAGTTCTAGAGTACAAATTGAGCCTCTTGTCTCAGGCTTGAGGTTGCTGAGTTATCCTTGCCCTGTGCCATGTTTCCCATTTGCAGGTCTGTGTGCCTGGCTTCAGGCACAGTCTACTTCTGTGTTTACAGCTATTATTTAATTGAGGCCTTCATCCCAACCTAAGAATGACTGCACAGTGAAAGGAATGCTGTTTTATACTAACTCTACGAGTAGTAGTTAAGATATAACTCAGGGGTTGTGCCTCAGATCTACCACACTCCAACAGAAGGCTACACATCCAAGAGTATATGGGCAGCAGAAAGTGGACTTGATGGGGTTTTTAAGAAAGAGGACATAGAGTTGGGTGGGACAGGAAGGGTCATGGGCTTAGAAGGAGTTTGGGACAAAGGGATGATTATGACCGAAGTACATTGTATGAAATTCTCAAAGAACTAATTAAAAAACTAAGAAAAAAAATAAAGTTAAAGAAGAACAGGAGGAGAGGGAAAAGACCAGAAAATGGGGTCAGTAAAGTGCTTCTATCCCCAGAACCAGATAGCCCTGTACGATGGTACATTCCTATAATCCTGTCACTGTCACTTGGGATGAGGAAGTAGTAGAAAGATGCCGGCCTGTCTGAGACGCTGCCTCAGAACAAACAAACAAAAACCAACAAAACCAAACCTTACCTCAGCATCTTTACTTAGAACAGTGAGAGCCCAATGTGTGTGGCTGAGCTGTCCTGATGATCTATGGACCTCGTTGGTACCTCCTTGATGATCTGTGGTCCTCACCATTGGTACCTCCTTGATGCCAATAAGAGGTTCTCCTTTTTCCTTTTTACCTCAGTCCTCTCCTTGCATTATATGGGCACCAGGGATTAAGTTATCAAGCCTGGCAGCAAGCTTTGTCTCTCTGAACAGATTTGTTTCCTTCCTTTTAAAACCAAGTATCTCTCATGCTAAGCATGCTGTGTACCAAGGGCAGGTTTCTTAGCTCATTTGTGCTCTGCGTCCCTCAACTATACAAATGAAGCTAGTAATAATATGCATCTTGTGATAGTTGGAAAGACTGAATATCACCCACCTCATTAGCAATACTCGTTGATAATACTTATGGATTTCCCCCCCAAACATGCGCAAGTAGTACTGTTTTAAAATTGGCTCAACATAGAGTCAAATATAGTGTCTGTGAGTAAGCTATATAAATAAAACTAAGTTCACATACTTTTTTTTCTGTCTTCCTAAAATTATTTACTGGATATTATCATGATAGAAAAATAAATTATCAAATTTTAAAAATATCAATGATTATTTCCTCATGGTTTTAGAAAATAGTCATCATGAACTGAGCATGGTGGCCCATGCCTATAATCCCATCACCCAGGAGGATGTTTGTGAGTTCAAGACTAGGTTGGACTGTGGCCTGGCCTGAGACTCTGCCAATGAAAGAGCGAATGAGATGGCGACATAGCACCCTATCATATAAATAAATCACAATGTATCAAACAAACCTCTATTGCCAGACATTTGAAGTCCCCTCTTATTTTCACTGTTGAAGCTGCTACGGAGGATGTCTCCGCTATGATAGCTTGTAGCGGGCTAATACAATGAAATGTCTTGTGTGCTAAGAGATTGCAGACTCTGTGGCCATGATCAAAATAAGTAGAGTTTTCATAACATGTAAAAGAAAGAGTTCATTGGTTGTGTGAATTGCTGAATAGCTCATTTAACCTCAAAGCAGTCATTCTTCTAAATTGCAATTGAAGGAGGTTCTTTCTATCCCAAGGAATGACACCTCGCTCTGGCACTGATGTCGATGCAGCCAACCTCAGGGAGACATTCATGGGCCTGAAATATGAAGTCCGGAACAAGAATGATCTTACTCGTGAAGAAATTGTGGAATTGCTGAAAAATGGTAAGAAACAATTAGTTAAAAGAAGCATCCAACAATTGGTCAAAAGGACAGAGACGAAATGTCTCTAGAACTCAGCCAGAAATGGCTCATCCTTACCCCAACCCTACACACATGCAAGGCTCAGGGAGCATTGCAGAAGATGGGGCAGAAAGATTTTTAAGACCAAAGGTGGCAGGGAGTGGGGATGGGGAACCAAATGGAAGGCGTGACAGGAATACTACACTTGAGAATTCACAGCTGTTGGTATTGCCTGTTCAAGATCAAGCCAGTCAGCATTCTAACATGAAAGGGAGGGGCCATGAGCCCCCACCTCTAGGTTGGGGAGCTGTTGATAGTCAGTGGCTGCTGGAAGAGAGTGAGTCTGTTTTAAGTAACCCTGATGGGTTGGCCGCACTCCAGTGGTATATGGCCAGCACAAATTGGACCCTGTGTTATTTTAAAAACAAAGCAAAGCTGGGAAGTTGGGAGGAAGGATCCAGGAGCAGTTGGGGGATAAATATGATCAAATTGCATGGATGGAATTCAAAAAGAATGGCCATCATTGGGTAATTTTACTTTATTATGGTCTAGCTATAATTAGACCTTTATAATTAGAGGTGTAAAATTATGCCTTTGCCTCCCAAGTTCTGGGATTAAAGGCATGTGCCACCACTCCTGGTTGCTTATATATTTTAGTAAAAATTGAAAAGAAATTAATTATGTCACCGCCCCCCCTCTCCCCTCCAAATGTTTCCAAATGTGCTCTGCCTATGTTACATTTGGATGGTCTTGTACTTCTAGTGTCAATTTCTTCATCTTGTGGTCATGTTGTAAACCAGTAACCCCAGAACTCAAGAAGCTAAGGCAGGAAGGAAGATCATCAATTCAAAGTCATCTTGGTCCAGTGAGAAAACTAGATACAAATCAAACAACCACAGATTCTTTATCATGTCCTCATACCGATTATTTGCAAACGCCTTTCCAGTTTCTAAAGAAGATCACAGCAGGAGGAGCAGCTTCGTTTGTGTGATTCTAAGCCATGGAGATGAAGGTGTAATTTTTGGAACAAATGGGCCTATTGACCTGAAAAAACTAACTAGTTACTTCAGAGGGGACTATTGCCGAAGTCTGACTGGAAAGCCCAAACTATTCATCATCCAGGTAGTGCTCTGAGCACCTCGGTGCCCAGTTACAAAGAGATTAATGCACTTAACATTATTTACTTTTTGTTATTTGAGGGCTATGGAACTGTTACATTTGTGTTTATTTGAGCCACCACTTCGACAATATGGGGTGCATTTCAATGTTGCTCCTATATCAGAATCAGTTTTCACACCGCTCTTACAGCTTTTACACGTTATGTGTGTTCACATAATTTTTTTTTTTAAAAAAAGTTTGTCTTCTGACACACAGGCCTGCCGCGGCACAGAGCTAGACTGTGGCATTGAGACAGACAGCGGAACTGAAGATGACATGGCGTGTCAGAAGATACCAGTGGAAGCCGACTTCCTTTACGCTTACTCCACAGCACCTGGTAGGAATGTGTGGATGTTAGATGAGTTGCATTGTGTCTAACTCTAGAGTTGACAGTAAAGACTATGCTTTAAATGCCATTAAGATTTTTATATGCCCTTCACAAAGATTTTTTTTTTTTACATCCCTAAACTAAAATAACTAAATGTTGCCTTAGTTACTTTTCTATTGCCATAACAGAACACGATGACCAAGGTAACTTATGAAAAAAAATACTTAATTTGGAGCCTGTGGTTACAGACAGTCCATGTGGCCAGAAAGGGGAGGTGGGGCATGGCAATAGATAAGCAGGTGTGGTTCTGGAGCAGTAGCTGAGAGCTTACATCTCCATCTGTAAACACAGCACAAGGCAGACAGAGCTAACTGGGAATGGCATGGATTTCTGAAACCTCAAAGGCCACCTGACACAGCTCCTCCATCAAGGCCACACCTCCTAGTCCTCCCCAAATAGTTCCACTGTCTGGGGACCAAGTATTAGAACATATGAACCTATAGGGGCCATTCTTATTCAAACCAACACACACACACACCACTCACACATACAGAAGGTATTGAGTTTGTGGGTGTGGACCTGTATGTATATATGTATGTGTGTCATTGTAGAGGGGAAAATTGACTCCCACAAATTATTTTCTGAGTGCCACGTGGTATACTGTGGCTCCTGTACAACCATACTCACAAAATAATAAGTAAATAAATTTATTATAACAAATAAATGAAAAATACTCAATCTTGTTTCTTTTATCCACTAGGTATCTTTCCAGGCAGCATACTTCTATAATAAATGCAATGAGTCCATTAATTAATATGAAAATACAAAAAAAAAAAATTACTTATTTCCTTCTTGGGCTTTTTGAATACTATTTATTGTATTCATTCAGATGCCCCATAGGCAAGCTAATGGCATTCTTTAAAGTGTGTATAAATAGGGGACTGAGTAGACAGTAGTAGTTAACAGCACTTGTCAGCTCATGCAGAGGACCTGGGTTCAGGTCCTCATGTACGCATGGTTGTTTGCAACCATCTGTAACTCCATGGGCATCAGGCACTTGTGAGCTACATTTTACATACATGCAGGCAAAGAACTCAAACACATAAAGTAAGTCTAAAGACACATTCAAAGTGTGTATATGTAAGGAATTTACTTCCTGTCTAAGCCAGTATTAAAAGCAGATGCGTTCTGACCGAAACATGAAGTGGTCTACATGGTCTCATTCAAATGTCTTTGCATTTGTGTCTTCACATCTTCCTCTTCCTCACTCTTACCCTGTCCGTCCCTAATGGGAAGGAGACCAGAACGTAAAACTCAGAGGAATTCAATGGCAGTCACTCCATAACCGCCTTTTATTTATTTAGTTTCCTGCTGAGAGCAGTGAGGTATGTATAATATATATTTTCCCCCTCAATATCATTTCTCCAGAGACCAAAGGTGTTAATTCTTTTTCCTTTTTATGGCTTATAAGACCTTGGAAGTTTATATTTATTTTTATCGTAGTTATGTAAAAATGAAATGCATAAATGCTAAATGCATAATGTAAAAATGAAATGCTAAAATGATGGTAAGAAGTGATGGTGGGTATATACAGTGCCTTGTATTTTGCCTTGTAGGTTACTACTCCTGGAGAAATTCAAAGGATGGGTCCTGGTTCATCCAGTCACTGTGTGCCATGCTGAAACTGTATGCACACAAGCTTGAGTTTATGCACATTCTCACTCGAGTTAACCGGAAGGTAGCGACAGAATTTGAGTCCTTCTCCCTTGACTCTACTTTTCATGCAAAGAAACAGATTCCATGTATTGTGTCCATGCTCACAAAAGAACTGTACTTTTATCACTAAGGAAATAATTGAGGGCTTTGTTTCTGTTTGTTCTTTGTTTTGAATGCCAATGAGGAAACGGTGTCAGGGAGACTTGATTTCCCTCTCATTTAAGTCAAATCTGATGTTTCAGATGGTATTACTGCCCTAGCAATGCAACCACAATGCAGCTACCTCAAGTTCAACATCAGGTAGTTGAAACAAAATTTACTTAGGAACAAATAAATGTCAATGCTGGTACTATCATTATAGAGGAAATTATAAATTTAATCTTTTTATTAGCAAGATTTGGTGATACTATACATTTTGAAATACTTACGAAGAAGTTAAATTTTCAGGTGTAAATTTATACTCCCTACACACATTAAGAATGTCATTCTAGCTTTTGTTAAACTATAGAAATGATGGTGTCAAATGATATGTCTTAGAACTTGAATCCATGGGCAGAGTCAAAGGCTTAACCCTTTATTTTGAAAGTGATGTATGGAAATGAAGTGTTGGACCACCAGTAGTATTCATAATAGCTACTACTGGCTTTGTGATGTTTGCCCTAAGCATGTATTTGTTGTTTTAAAAAAATCATGTTTTATGATTGAAAACACTTGAGTATTTATATGGGAGGAAAACATGTGCGAAATTGGTTGACTCTTTGAAGGCTACAATACATCAGTAGTAGACATGATGGCAAGGTGCTAAATCTACCAGCATTTGTTTCTTACTTATACAAATCAGCTTAGTTTTACAGACCAGCAAAATATCTAAAGGATGGTTATGTCACAGCCTCAAATTGTTGGTTATTAGAATGAAATAAAGAAATTATGTAGGAACAAACTAAAACACCAGCTGTAAAATAGAATGTGTGTGGTGGGGGGGGATGAATCTACTATAATTGGAGAGATGTGGCAGAGTCATGGGCACAGCTCCAGAAAGGACTACCAGCTGGACCAACCTCATGAGTTATCGTTTGTGTGGAGGATGTCCCCAAGGTCCAAGTCTTCATGTGAGAAAGTGAGCCAGATCAGAAACTTCTGAAAAGGGGCTTTCCCAAAGTGGAGAGAGTTGTCTTCAGAAAGATCCCTGAACTCCATGTCCAGAGTCTGTAAGCATGCTGACTTTTCTGTTGAAGTTTACAATAAAAGAAAAGCAACAGTGATATTTGCATTGTCACCAGAGATTAAGGACCGTGGCACACAGGATTTGGGGAACATGCAATCACAGGCCCTGCAGCCCACGTGGGAAGCTGCACAATGGAGTTCAGCCCCATCAGAGAGGCTGTGCTCCAGGCTTCCTGGAGGTGTTGAGCCAATGCTGGCTGTCCTGATGTGTCCCTCATTTCACGGAAGCTTCCTTTTTCTCAGAGAAAGGAAGGAACTCACATTTATAACTGGTAGATTCTTGTTTTAGACTGGATCTATTAACTCTTAAGTAAATGTAGCATGTGGTGGTATTTTAAAGTGTGTTCCCATATGTCAATTTTATAAGAGTTTGTTGCATTTTTATTTCAAAACATAAATTCAGATTTAAAATAATCAGCGTTTTTGAGGGTTTTTTTTTTTTTGTTTTGTTTTTTTTTTTTTTTTTTTTTTTTTTGTGGATACATTTGGTGTTGTGATACCTAAGTGAAAATTAAAATAGTTTTAACCCAGAGCTTAATTCAGGAGAGTCAAAGAGGATGCAGCAGGGCCCTAACCTAATATTTTGAGGTGGTGGCAAGTGAAAAAAACTCTGAGGAGATGGATACGATTTAAACCCTGGAGAATAATATTGGAGGGGGGTCATCTCTTCCAATGTTACATAATCATAGCTGCTATCAAATCAAGAACAAAGCTGAATCAAGGAACTCCTATTCCCAAGGAGAAGAGTGACATGAATGTTTGTTATTCATCCTCTTCTAACCTGTGGCTGGGGGCTGGAGAGGTGGCTCGGTGGTCAAGAACACTGGCTATTATAAATAAACCTTTTTTAAAAAAATCTGTAACTCTCTGTAATGTTCTGAGAAAAAGCTAGCCAATTTTTTTTTTTTAATTTACCTGCATATAAAGAGGTCATAGATTACAATGAAAGAGTGTGGTTATGGGACTGGGGGTAACTAATTGAGTGAAGTGATTCTCTTGCAAGCACAAGAACCTGAGTTTGATCCCCAGAATCCATGTTGATGTGGTTAAGAGCACTGGCTGCTCTTCCAGAGGACCCTGGTTCAGTTCCCAGCATCCACGTGTTAGCTCACCACTGTCTGTAACTCCAGTTGCAGAGGCTCTGGCATGCTCATACAGACACAAAAGCAGCCAAAATAATGCAATGCACATGAAAGGGGTAAATCTTTAAAAAGTTAAAAGTAAGTGTGGTGACACACACACTTGTAATTCTAGCAGTGAAGGAGATGAACAAGTTCCAGAGGCACAAGGGTCAGTCTACCCTACTTAGCAAGCCCCAGGACAATGTGCTGAGCTGTTGAGGAAGGATGTCCAAGGTTAATCACTGGCCTACACATACCCAAGATAAAACCATCAACTGAGTAGCAAGTACATGAATACACCAAAAACAAGAAAGACCACATATCCTTTAATTTCAGATAAAGAGCTGAATTTCTCCCATCATAGGAGGAGGAATGTAGAATAAAGTATCCTCTACCGGGCTGGCAAGTATGGCCCATGTACTGGAGCTATAGGCAGGCATCATCATGCCTAGCATGTGTTGTGGGTTTTTAAGATGTTGCATGCATATTCATGAGATGGATGGCATATTCACAGGGTAAGGTGACTATTTTTCCCTTCCCAAACCATGATGAACCAGATCTCTTGGATAATTACCCATGATCACCTTTAAAAGGAGAGACAAACTCACAAAGAAAATGACAAGGAAATCTGGGTTTCTGGACGATGCAGATCCTTTGTCTTAATATGGATGTGTGGCAGTTGGGTTAGGTTTTTCTTAGTACTTAGTTTCTACTATGTAGGGAAGAAGCCAACTGCATCTTAAACCACCAAGTAGCATTCAGTCTGAACACCAGGAGACACATCTACCAAGAAACAGTCATAATGTTCCATGGGTACCCCATCTCTAACTCCTCCACCTACCAATCTGGTAGGAGTTGTAAAACCGTAAGACTCAAATATAAAGACTGTGGCCAGAAATGGGTTGTCTGAGTCAGAGGGGAAGCAGATTTCACTGTGAAATAACATGGGAGAGTTGACTTTGAGAAAGAAGGCACATCAAAGAAGTAGGTAGGTAGGTGTGGTGTCTTCCTTGTTCAATTTGAGATACCCTCCACTTTCTTGTCAGGGTTGCTAATTTGTCAGAACGGCTCACAGAATTTAGGAACATGCTTTAGTTATAATCCCCAGCTTGTTAGCTAGTACAATTAAAGAGTGTGGGAACAGGGCCTTGTTTTCTTGGAGTGTCCCATCTCCCAATCTGTTTAACAACTTGGAAACTGAATCTCATTAGGATTGCTAGACCTCAGGTCCCAGAACCCTCTTTTCTCAGGGCTAGGTGTAGAGCAGACCAGTCCAAGCAGCTTGTCTGAAATTATCTATGGCTCTGCCTAACTATTAGCATAATCCCAGGTGTGGACTAAAGGGCCTTGCTATTAAGATCAAAGTCACTCCTTCCAGAGATTCTAAGCAGCTTAGGACCTCTGCATGCAGAACCTTCAATGAAGATCATGATTCTCAGCCTGGACTTGGAGTACCTTGTAGATGGAGTTTCTTTCCCACCTGGTCCCACAGCTGTTTGGCCCCAAGTAAACACACAGAGGCTTATATTAATTATAAACTGTTTGGTCGATGGCTTATGCTTCTTACTAGATGGCTTTCTCTTAATTATTAACCCATAACTATTAATCTATGTATTTCTATATGGCCTTATCTTACCGGAGGATGCCAGTGTCCTATCTTCCCAATAGACACACGGCATCTCCTGGCAGCTCGCTCAACTCTGTCTCCTCTCCCCAGAATTCTCATCTGGTAGCCCTTCCTATACTTCCTGAATCGATTCAGCCTTGGCAGATAAATTGATTGTGAGAGTTTAGATTTGACTAGAGATAAACATTAACCATTAGAGACAAAATTTTCTTTCACTTTGCATGACGCTGTAACAGCATATGCTGGCAACTGGGCACACTGTTCTATCTGTAGCTGCGCCTAGTAAGAAAACTTCCTTTGTTGCAAACTGCTTACACTCTTAACGGTTGCTGGAGTTTCTTTCCCGACAGGTTCTGCCTATCTTCAGCCTCAAATAAACACACAAAGTGTTTAGGAATGCCTTGTCTACAATTTCCTCTCATACTTAACATTAGAGCTATGAACCAAGAAGGTAACTTTTACCATTGGTAAAATTGGGGGATGGAAGGAGAATAAGGTAAGGGAACAAACTGTTAATTATTGTAATTATTACTGAAAACTTAAGGAAGCAAATATGATTGCAAAACTTTCATGCAAACTATTGAAATGGTATAAATAAAACAGACCAAGGCTATCTGGGGCCACTTGTTTGAAACAGGTGGTCAGAGTTTTCTTCCTTTCGACAACTTCACACATCCATCACAGGTCATTGGATCCATTAGGAGCAAGGCTCCCTGAACCCATGAATTAAATATACCACTGTATGTATGTATGTATGTATGTATATGTATATATATCAAAGTCTTGTGACTAAGACTATGTCTGTACATTTAAGCTATGTATACAGTGCTTATTTTTAGTGGATGAAACAGCTAGAGCAGAAACAGCTCTTCAGAGATAGAAGACACGGGAGAGAGGAACCCATATGATAGTTGAAATGAACACGGATTTGGAAATTTGAAAGATGGTGACAAGGGCAATGACAAGAAGCAGATAAAATGAAATGTTCTAGAAAGATACCTGTCTCCTACTGTCTAGCAGTCTTCTCAGTGAGTTCACTGTATCTCCATATCCTATTTTCATCTGCTGGGAGGGCATGGCAGAGTCCATGCCCATTTGGTTGTGCGTTTATGATTGCTCACACCAGTGCACAAGAGCAGGAGGGGGGGAATGCCAATGACTACTTGACTTTCCCCTTTCCCCCTTTTATTCAGTCTCGGTCCTCATTTTATGGGTTGAGGCCACTCCTGTTCAAAGTGTGTCTTTCCCTCAGTGTTTTCTGGAAGCACCAGATAACATATACAAAGGCATTTCACCCAGGTGGTCCTAAACCCAGCCAAGCTGACAATGAAGATTAACCACCCCTGATGCAAATCCAGAGGGGAGCACTGAGAACAAGATTTGCAGGTGGCTTGTAGTTAGACTTTGTCGTCTGTGGGATGAGTTCACCGAGTGCTGGTGTGAGTGGCAAGTGCAGTCTATGCACCAAAACCATGCTGTATTCCTTCCCTATCTTGCCATGCCTTCCTTGTTTCCTACTTTCCTCTCACCTCCATGGCCCTCATCTCCTGCTATAACCTTGTGACCATTGAATAGAAAATAGTTTCAATTTTCCTTACAACACAGCCTAACAACAAAAACTAAATGATTTAAATGGTTAAAAGTTTTTCATATATATACTCCATTTTTCCAATCCTATTTTCTGCCACTTTATCAATATTGATCAACTTTGGTATGTATCTGAAAAAAATTGTTTTTCAGTATTGTTTCTTCATAAGACATATTAATATGAAGCTAGGAGTAGGGGGGCACACACTTCTCATAAAGACACTAAAGCAGGAGGATTGTAAGACCAAGATCATCTTGGGCTATATAGAGAGACCTTCAAAAAACAAACAAAAAAGAAAGAAGAGAGAAAAGAGGAAATAATTTAATATGAACTCTCAGTGAACATCTCTGATATTCAAATATCTTTGTATTTCATTTGGATGTCCAGCATAATGCAAATTTGTAACCTACCATATCCAAGTCCTCTTCCCATCCCAGCTGGTCCCTTCTCCCCTCATCAATCACAGAGAGGAATAGAAAAGTTGAAATTGTTTACCCAAAACAGCATTTGGGTTTACCCAATAAGAAAGACAGACTAAACGTGTTACATGGTCCACCCATCTACCTCTCAAAATCTAATACTTCAGAGATGAAGAGTTGGTGTGAAGGAATCTGTTTTCTTTAAGGGCTGGGACCCTAGAGGATGGGGATGGTTTCATGCCCAAAGCTCTATCTTTGAGTAATCTGAGGGTACAATTCCTTTACCATTATGATAAGGAGAAGAGAACAGGGGTAAAATGTGCTGAGTCATTTGTGTGTGTATCTCCCATTTCTTCTCCCACTAGAACACAGCAATGGACTGCAACCCAGTAGAACTAATAATGTATATGTTTTGTATTACATGACGTACAGAACTAAACCTACAAAGGGACATTTGGATATCCTGATGGTATCTTGAAGGTCAGCAGGTGTTCTGGGTTCTGGAAAGCTAAGAAAAGAATATTTAGAATTGCATTTACCATCTTACTCATTTAGACATGGGCTTTGTTTTGAATTTAGAGTTCTGGGCAATTGATAAATGGTGATTGCACACACCTTTATTCCCAGCACATGTCAGGCAAAAGCAGGCAGATCTCT